AGGGTCCTGAGTGGGACAAGTGGCAACCTGCTTTTGATAAGCAAATCAAGGCGCTACAGCAAGCCGAAGCCTGGGAACTCGTTGACCCTCCAACCGGAGAAAAGGTTCTTCCTGGCCAATGGATATGCGATATCAAGTCTGACGGCAGATATCGTGCCCGATGGGTTGTCTGTGGCAACCACGCGGTATCTGACTGGTCCGCTGAACAATTGTACGCAGCTGTCGCTAATGCAACCTCTATCCGTGTTTTCTTTGCTGTTGTTGCAACCAAGACCTACATCGCAGAGTTATTCGATTACGACATAGCTTTTCTTCACGCCTCTATCCCGGACGATACCAAGGTGTACGTCCAGCAGCCCCATGGCTATCGCCAAGGAGACAAAGTCTGCCTCCTCAAGCGTGCCCTTTACGGCCACCCCATGGCACCTGTATGGTGGTTCAACAAGATCAAAGGTCACATGACTGACCTCGGTTTTCGAGCTATTGAAGGCGAAGTCTGCCTTTTTATCCATGACGAGTACAACTGCATTGTTTTGATGTATGTTGATGACAACGTCATCGCTGCTCCAGACCGGAACACTATTCGCAAAGTCAAGGATCTCCTTAAGTCATTTGTCAGCATGAAAGAACTGGGAGACGTTCAGAGATTCCTAGGTTACGAAGTCTGTCGTAATGAGAGAGCCAAGACCCTATACCTATCATAAGCCGAATTCTGTCGCAGGATGCTTTAGAAGTTCGGATACGTGGACCTCTATCCAGTCCGCACACCAATGGATCACAATATCGTCGCTAAGTGGCTAGTTGAGTATGAACCAGTTGAAACTGACCGTTGCAAGCTGTACTTGCAAATGACAGGCTCTATTAATTTCCTCTCGACCGGTACGCGCCCCGATATAACTTACGCAACTAGCAAACTCTGCGAAGCCAACAGCCGCCCTGGTGAGCACCACTTCGCAGCAATCAAGCACCTCATGAGATACCTCACTGGCACAGTCGACCTCGGCATCACCTTTGACGCTTCTATGCCTATTGATGACCTCGGACTCCATGCTGCCAGCGACGCGGCCTTTGGCGACTGTCGCCTTACCCGAGTGAGCACTGGAGGATACGTCGTTATCCTTGCCGGTGGCCCAGTGATATGGAAGTCGAAGAAACAGACTTACGTCACAACCAGCTCCACGGAAGCTGAATTCATTAACCTTACTCCAACGGGACTTTCGGTCCAATGGGTTCATAAGCTGCTGAGACTTCTCGGCTGCACTCAACCTCGTCCTACGGTCCTATTTACTGATTCCCGCAACGCGCTGATCAACGTAACGAATCCACTAAACCAGGCGCGAACCAGGAACATCGATCTACGATACAAGTGGATCATCGATCAAGTCAAAAACGGCTTGTTCAACCTCAAACTTATCCGAACACATGACATGCCTGCTGACGGACTCACGAAGCCGTTAAATCACGAGAAGCACGCCAACTTCGTCAAAATGCTTGGCCTTACGAAAATCGCTTGCAAATGAGCATATAGTGTGGCAGGTGCAGGTGGGTCACGTGAGGCAGCTCCTTCACATCTCGGAGCTGCCCCACCTACACCTTGCCCAGATATCCAGCCCAGCCAGCGCTCAGCTTTTCCTATCATCATCATCAGATCCAATACAGTAGTATTGCCTCCACATATAGATATCCTTATACCCGACCGAACAAACAAGGGATAAAGGATTATTTGGCTCAGGCACAGGACGGAGGATATAGGCGGAGCATGGGATACAGCGGAGGACTAATTGGGATTGTCGGTATTTGAGCCTGCTTCTCACATGTACGATAGTTTTCACTGTGGCTGGCCTGAGGGGCGGTGTGGCAGGTGCAGGTGGGTCACGTGAGGCAGCTCCTTCACATCTCGGAGCTGCCCCACCTACACCTTGCCCAGATATCCAGCCCAGCCAGCGCTCAGCTTTTTCCATCATCATCATCATCAGATCCAATACAGTAGTATTGCCTCCACACTTTCCAATCTTCTGAAGAAAGGAGGTCATCGTCAGGTATCCTTTTACTGGCATTGTCCTGCTCCTGGACCCAGTTGATGTAGGTCTCGATCTCTGCCCTCTTCTGAAGAGCTCGATGGATCATGAGGTAGGTGGAATTCCATCTCGTCTCGTTGTTGAGAAGAAGATATGACTCCTGAGACCCCTGGCTGAATAGCTCGAAGTCTGACCCAGCATCAACCTCTTGGGCTGCTTTCCTGAATCGCTCAGATCGCTGAGGAGAAGCCCTGATGAACTTCACGATGTTACGAAGCTTACCAACAGGCCCCGTCTTCCTCCAGAGCTTCAGATCTTCCCCCTCATAATAGACAGACTGGTAGAAGAGTGACTCAGCCTCAAAGACTTTACGATCAGCACCAAAAAGAAGGGCTCGTGCCACCAGGTTGAGTATGTGGCCGTAGCATCGCATTCTCCTTGCCTGATAGTCCCCCTGATCCATCATAGGGTCGAGTCTCCTGAAGAGGGCAGAGATGCAGGTATCGTCGTTGCTGGCGTTATCACAGACCACCACACCCACTTTGCCAGTGATATCCCATTGCTGAAGAGTCTCGTAGATATTGTTGGATATGTTGGGACCGCTGTGATCGCCGCTCATGTGGTTGAAGGCGATGAGACGAGACTGGTGCTGGCCCATACTGTTGATGAAGTGGGCAGTGACTGCAAGGTAGGCGTAGTTGTTGGGTGACGTCCACAGATCAAACCCAATATGGATCTTAGTGAGGGCACTGTGGAGTTCATCCTTGACGTAGGATTGCCCCCTAGCGAAGAGAATGGGAAGATGGTCCATCATTGAAGTCCTACCCCATGGCACCTGATCAGCCAGAGAGGAGTTGTGGAGTCGTAGAACTTGTTGAACGAAGCTATCTTGAAAGTGGTCGAATGGTAGATCGTTGGTGATGATGGTGGAGAGACAGAGATCTATGACAGTAGCCACTTTCGACTTGGGTATATGGGAGATCTTCCTCCTCTTCGATGAACGAGTACCATGCTCTGAGCTGTGGAGAGTCTCTCCTGAGCTTGTCTCATCGGTAGCAGAACCCCATTGTGAGACTTGATGGCATCTGTATATAGATCAGTTAACAATAATCATACCAAAGGACATATACGTACCTGCGAAGATGGTCTGCAGCAGAGCTAGAAGCATTAGCAGCAAAGAACTCTGGCTTTCCTTTACTGTCACATTGTTGACAGCACCAGTAAGCACCAGCTGGCCCCTCATCACAAAGCTCAACAAGGAAGACCCCATGGTCCTTAAGCCAACTCTTCCTCCCCCTGCCTCCTTTACGGGCCAGCTGCTCCTCAACCACATATCTCTTGTTCTGCCATATGATCTGTAGGCAGTACACACTGCTCATCTGGACCAACGAGGCAAGCAATGAGGCAATACGACTGGTATTGACGGTTGGTTGGTGATGTTGTGGTGAAGGTGGCTGCGGTGGGCTGGATCAACCAGGAGGTGGATCAGGCAGCTGGTGCCTGGGGCACCAGCCACTGCCTCAGGTATCCACAGTCCCACATGATCGTAGGGAGGTCGAAGATGGATGGATTCGAGGGAAGAACGACAGAGACACTGTTGGCCACTTGAGTTGCAATTCTGGAGGGGGATCGAAGCAGTTGAAGTACGTTGGTAGGTAAAGGAGTGGGGGACAACATCTGTGAATAGCATCGTTAGTTGTGAAACCAAGACATCATCATGCCTGGGGAAGAAGAGCTTCCTGGATGGATGGGGAAGCCCTTATATAGGGCCAGGGAGAGAGGAGGGGGGGAGTGGCTGACGTACGGTTGAAGTCATCATGGCAAAGGTAGGCAAGCCCAGGATGTTGGCGATGTTGCTGATGTTGGCTGCTTGTGAGGCATGAGGAAGAAGAAGAGACGTAGTAAGAGAGCGGTTCCAGTGCTTTTATACCCATATCCAACGTCGCTGGGAATCATAGATCACTCAGGAGTATTGTCTGAAGAGAAAATACAGCCAGGAGGGCAGAAAAGAATGTCGCAAAGCTGTCAGGATTAATGGTGCTGCATACAGAAAAAGAAAGCTGACCGCGTTAGGGCGTGAATATTCGCGATAATGGCATCCCATTGGCTATATAAAGGCTTATGTAATATGCCAAGCCAAATCAACCCAATATATCAAATCCCGGTGGTCAGAAGTTGTTTGATTGATAGTTGGGAATAGCCTCAGTTGTTTGGTTTGTTTGGAAGTTTGTGTTGGTATTCCTTTCACAGGGAATTTGGTTCGAACCGTCGGGTCCTGGGGGTGACGAAGTATCAATATCTCTGTATTGATTGATTCTGCGTAAGGAGTAGAAGGGAGATTCCAACCGGAGGTTGGGTGGGTAGTCGAGGTCTAATTGTACCCCCTCGAGGTGGCCCATGCTCTGCCCCTACTCGCGGCCGAATTGGACTTCCAATCCGACAGTTTGATTGATAGATTGGCTTTAGCGGCAGCGCTGCGTACGGTTGCCCTGCTGACGTGTATACCAACACCTAGAGATGCTCGATCGCATCCACAGCCAGTTCCAGTCCCTACCGCAGTTGGACTTAGAATTGGATCAAAACTACTCCCAATCCGTGGTTCCTCAGCTGGGTGATGAGGCTGAAGCGAGACCGACGGCATCCCACTTCGTCGCGCCGACGCAAAACTTTGCTGATCTGCCGAGTGAAAATGACTTTGCCTTCTACGGCGAAGTCAACCGGCTTTCGACGACGATGCTGCGGACCCAAGTCTGCGAATGTTGCTCAACAAGTCTTCCCTAGACTTCATGGAAAACATGCCCCTAGACCTGCTACTTTGGGATTGAACATCTTGATGTCGTACTTGACCTTGAGTAATTCAGCGTCAATGATAAAGTCATCACACAAGCGGTGTTACATTAAGGGGAAAGTAAAGTGTCTCGCATTCCTTGTCATGAACAACTAAAGTGTAGTAGAAAAAGCTCTTCAAAATGGCGCAGCATTCACATGGATGCGACGCTGATCTACGTGCTCAAACGTTCTCAAAAGACCTCCCATTCCTCTATAACTAGGCGACGATACTCTAATCGCTCAAGCCATAACAAAGTCTACACAACTCTCGTATGTCTGCTTCGCTGCGGTACCAACCCAGAACCACTGAACGACACACTGGCCAGCCTGAGCGCATGTGCCCGCGGGCAAGTTAGAGGGCATGGTGATGTCGAAGTTGGTGTTGTTCTTGGGCAGTGCCGCGAGCTTCTCGTCGGCGTAGCTGTCGAAGGCGATGAGAGGCTGTCCGATGACCTTGTTGGTTGCGGTATCGACGATGGAGACGTTCATGGGGCCCTCATGGGGAATCGGGATCTCGGCCTTCATGTTGACGACCTGTCCAGCCTTGAAGGTCTGGACGTTGGCCTTGTTGTCCTCGAACTTGGCTCCTCTGCAAAGGTCAAGTTGGCCTTGATATGGTGTCAGTAACTTGTCTCACTTATTCATGCTCTAGAGGCTTGCTTACATGTTGCAGGAGGGCTGGTGAAGTCTTCCAGAGGAATGGTGGGATCGGCTGTCACAGCCTTAACGTTCGCTTGTCCGCATGCTGCAGCCATTGCGGCGCCGACACCACGGGCAGGAGGCGAGACAATGTTGCCATGAGCAGAGACCAACGCGGCGAGCAGCGCCGTGGCGGCAGTGATTGAAGCGCGCATCTTGGAGTGATTACTTGGGATGTTTGTTTATCGGCCTGTGAAAGCGAAAGAGTAGGTAGTCCGGCGGTTTATGAAGAAAGGACAGTGTTTGGATTAGACAAGATTGAAAGAAACGAGTGACCAGCACAATGATTTGAATGATGAGACAGGGCGAACAGAAACCGGATGAAGCAGCGTCAGGGCCAGATGTGCGGCCTTGCGACTACAAATACCACAACTCGGCCCTAGCCCGACGACGACGTGATCCTTGTCGCTGACAGAGAGATGTCAATGATCCGACGCTGATGGCCCGGCGATCATAGCTTCAAAGCCAGCCTCCCACAATCCTTGTGCTGATGGATATCAACCGTTGGCCGGAACCACGGGAGCTACCGTGGTACCCCGTTCCTCTCTCTCTGCCCAACACCAACTGTAAGTGGTCTTCGTGAAAAAACAACCCGAGAGTGATCCCTGGAGCGAAACATGCATTCTTGAGGCTCTTCAGGCACGAAAGCAAGACAAGCTTGGTGGGATCCACGCGCGTGAAACGTCGCAAGTTATTGAGCCGCTCTGCTTCCGGTGCGGACGGTTGTGGACGTGGTCACAACTCGCGAAACCTGCGACAAACCCTGTCTGGGGGTTCGGGCGTTCGTGCAGCAAGAAAGCGAGAAGCTCAAAGGGAACAAGACTTTAATTCCTAGAGAGACGCGAGAACCGGCACTTTGTGCAGAGTTCAAGCAAAGAACGATATGGGATTTTGGGTTATTCTCGAGTCATCGAGCCATCACAATCAGGGCGTCACCAAGCGCGCCGGTTGTGATGCCAAGCCGTCAGTTTGGATGTTGGAACCGCGAAGATCGGGATGGTGTGTGTGAGTGAACCGGTGCTCCGGAACGCCACGGCGCGCCACGGCGGCGCCCCCAGAGTCTTTAGTGATCCGGCCATTAGTTGAGGGTGAAATCTCCGGCTCGGTGGCCGGGGTCTTTTGTTCTGGGTGCGCTACGGAGTAGAACCCCTTGCCCACCGGCCCTGGATCTCAAGCAATGCCAAGTCGTCTACAACTTCCTACGTGAGAGATCTGCGAGTCATAAGGCTATCTTAAGCAGATTACCAGCCAGGAATGTTACACTGTGAGGAGGCGATCACTCACCTACCAACCTGCGACTGCCGGACTGCACCAAGTTACCAACTCCTGAGCGTCAGAGTTGACAGTCGAGAAATTCTAACGCGAGGGGAGGAGAAAGTGCTTCCAGGCCCCCGCTGACAAGACCAGCCTCCCTTGAGCGTCAGCAAAAGCCAAAGAGAAACACGACTCCCCAGGGGACTAGAAAGCCCCCCTTTCTCGGCATTGACAGCAGACTTTCCCCCTCGCAACCCGGTTAGGCTCGCAAGAAACCGAGTTAAAAGCCTAATTAGTGGACATTGCCCGCAATCATCGCCCACTTCAAGGCACGGCGCTGCTATTGCGGACTTTTTGAGGGGAGTGCGGAGAAGTGGTGCCCTTCGGCGGAATTTGGAGGACAACAATGATTATTGATAAGCATTGTGACAAGACAGCCCTGACTCTCTTCGCAACCTCCATCCGATGAAGAAGAGAGTTCCTTCCCGCCCGCAACTGTCCGAGCTGTCTTTCAGGAACACGGCACTTGGCATCCTGAAAAGACGGTAACGAGGCGATCCGGCGAGGCTTGCTGACCCTGAATAATGACAGCATTGTTTTCTCGGAAAGACGGCAAGTAGATAATCTGCGCGGATTTGTTTCCAGGCCTCCTCAATGCGGGTTGAAAATTTTCGCGCGCGGCATTTCTAGTATGCCTATAGAGGTTGTGATATCACGGACATCGGATGATGTCGAGTCAAGGAAGACGGAAAGTTATCTCGACCGTGTTAGGGCGTTCCTGTTGATGGCGCTCAGCGGAGTGCCAGTGCGTCTGAGCCAGTCGTATTTCAATTTCAGGTAAAAGGTCCTCTGAGGCATCTGAGAGACCAGGAGACAGAGAATATAATTGTTTACATGTTAATCCCATAGTTTCAATAATCAATGATAAAACCATTGGTGATGCGTGATGTGGGCAAAGGTTCGCTGCCTGCGAAGACCTAGGGAAAGCGTAGTTTAGACTCTCAACTTACGCCAATGAACGATTCAGGGTATCACAGCTCACGGTTTGATGATCTTAAAAAGAGAAGCTCAAGCCATGGCAGTTGTTTCCGCAGGGTGTCAAGGTTGTCTTCGCGATATAGTCATCAGGTCGGTTCTTCGTTACAATTTCCAACTTCTAGACCCTTGCGCATGAGGTAAGATTGACTCCAACTTGCCAGCCTCACCGTTTGCCTTCACGATTCCGTTATGAAAATGAAAAGGTCCAGATTTTATCTAACAAATGATACTTCCGGTTGCTGACACTATTACGGTATGTTTTGTTGCTCCGAGTTGCAAGGATCGTCACCAGAACTATTGTCTCCCATATGGCCACTGCTTGAAGCTACTTGTCAGAACCGCTAGCTAGAGTTTATGCCCTCGAACGTTATCACTCATGTTTCAGGAGTAACTTAGATATGGAAGTTTCTACCTACTTTGAGAGTCGCTAGGCATTGCTCACTAATCAACCACTTCCTCAAAGGCCCATCCGTTAGCCAACTGGGCCGGATAGTGGGAAACCATCTACCTGCGCCTTCGAACTTCCTAGGACCTTGGAATTTCTAATATCATATCAAATATCACCTGTGAAGAAGAATTAAACAACCCATTTTTTTCCCGCGTAAGTTTGTTACATTAATCCGGAGGCCGAAGGTAAGTTCAATTTCCGGTTCAAACACGCAATGAGACACGTCTTTCAAGAAGCTGGTCCAAATACAAAAATCTTATTCAACCAAATGTGACAGTTCGGCATGACCATATCACCTTTCCAGTTACGATTGGTCATTTATTCAATTTAATACCTTCTACTAAGCTCCTATCTCACGAGAAGCTCCCAGATCAGACACGGAGCGTATTACCCAGAACAAAGTCTTCTCTTTCTCTTCGGACAGACTTCCGTTAACTTTCTGGTCCTATTTGCGCCTCGGCTACTAGACCTGGTCTTGCGCGTCGTCGAAGTATGACTGCTTCAAGATATCACTTCATGATCCAGGGTTATAGAAAAAGAAGCTTTCGAGTCTTCATCTGCAGTGAGCCTTTTCCCATATTTCCTAACATTGCTACCCTTCGCGAGGAACCTTGTCCTCAGATGATAAGAAAAGCATTTATTTACAGACCTGTTCGAAAGGCCCACAACTGGTTACCTTCTCATAGTTGTTATTCCCTATCGAAGGTTGAGGACTTGCCTGAACAGGAGCAGCCACACGCAGCGGATTTTCGATTCGATACTAGCGAGCGATACGGCGACCCTATTCTCTTGTGGATGTTGCCGCATTACTGAAGAATGATTCACCGAAATGTACCTGTAGCAGATAACTTTCGAGGCCGCGGCTGCGTACATCAGACTAAGTTATAAGTTACTCGCAGCGGTATCACGGAGTCCAGCATTGCCTCCGCCTCAATCGAAGGTGTACATCTGCATCAATGTCGTTCAATCAACATGAGAAATAAACCACCACCAGCCGAGCGTAGCTTGTTAACTTCCAAAGCTAAGCAATGGTTGATGGTTATTCTCTTTCAGACCAGCCTTTAGCAATGTCTCATTCGACTCAAGCTCTCATCTGGGACAGATCAAGAGACTATGACACACCAATGAAAATGTCTCAAGGAACATCAAGTATTGTGACTGACTAACCGAGTGGCATGAGATGGCATCAAGTCACGTTCTAGATGGTAGAAGGATATAACTGCCTTGGCTCAGGCTGGGGTCAAGTCTGTCAAAGCCTAGATTGACACGAATGCGGTCCTACATATGTGACCTAAATTTTCTGAACTAGCTTCATTCACTAAGTATATATGTACTGAAAATCCTCCATTTACAACGCTATTCATCACTTCAGGTCAACCTCAGTCTACTTCGTGACGTGCTGTCCCCTTATCCCAAGCCCTGTTCGGCCACGAGAGATGCTTAGCAGCCCTTAACGGCATCTTTCTTGTTCTGTTGGTTCTGGTCGATACCTCCGGCAAACTCCTTCTCCATCTGGGCGATAGTGTCCAGGTCGGCATTGTTGCCCGCGAGACCCTGAGCCTGCTTCAGCTCAGTAGCCTGCGCATTTTGGACCTATGATGATTTGTTAGACTCATGTCTTTCACTTCTGTTCTCCGAAGAGTGGGTTGAGTGCAACATACCTTCTTCAGACCCGGAATCGCAGCGTTACCCTTGGGAGCAATCTTCTGGTTCTCAGCGCGGACATCCGCTCCTGACTTGACAGTGGCGACGAGCTTGGTCTTAGCCTGGTCGAACTGAGACTTGTTTCCAGACTGAACAGCCTGCTTCACAGCGGCAACATCCTTCTGCTCCTGCTTCTGAATGGAGATGTTCTTGTCGATGCCAGTAGCCAACTTCTTGGCAGCAGCACATTCGTCAGCGGTAGGCCTGGTGTTTCCTCCGGTGCCGTTCTTCGTAGCCTTGGTGGTCTGGCCCTTGTTGGTGTTGCCATTGTTATTTGTCTTCGTCTTGGTGCCCTTGTTCCCGTTGTCGTTCTTGTTCTTGTTGTCGGCGGCGTCTTGCGCGGCAACGGCTTCTATCGGCGCCGGCGCGGGCAGAGCAATGACGAAGGTGAAGAGGAGGAAGAGAGAGAGGAGAAGCTGAGGGTAACGCATCTTGAATATTGTTTAGTGATTCAAGTGATAGACGTAAAGTGGTGTAAAGATTGTAGAGAGCAAAGAGCCTTTAGTAGTAGAGCTTGATGAACTAGAATGAGATTGAGTTGATGATCCAAAAGGCAGAATTGAGGGCTTCTTCGATTGAATTATATAGCCCAACCTTCTGAGTGAATTCGGACACGGCCACTTACACCTACTTTCTATCGCGTCGTCATCTCAAACGATTAGGCGAACATACTTCGTCCGAGGACGCCGAAAGACCCTGTCCGCTGCACGATGGGAAGCAGCTCAGTCCCAGTCTTCGCGATGCTTTCAGGGGTTGTTTCGCTCTCGGGTGAAGCTTCAATTCACAATGTGGGT